AGAAGCTTTTAAATTTTATTTGCCATTAGGTATGGTGGTACAAACCTATAATCCTGGCAGTCTGGGAGACCAAGAAGCAGTTTAATTCTTCCCTGGGCAATTTTGCAACACCAACACCTTGACTCAAAGAGTAAAAATGGGCTAGATATTCAGCTTAGTATAAGGCCTTGGGTTTAGTCTCCAGGACTAAAAAAAGGTTTGTCATACAAATAGCCTTGTTTGTCTACTTAAATCTTCTGCCCACTTTTTAATGGGCTCTTTTTCTGATTGATTTAGGAGTTTACTGTATATTGTAGATGTAAGTCCTTTGTCATCCATATGTATTGTCTGTATGAGTATGTCATCTATATGCAATATCATATCTTCTTGGGTTGCCTTTTCATTTCACTCTTTCAATTTTGTCTTTTGATAATCAAAAATTCTAGTTTATTTTATCAGCCTCATCCTTCATGATTAATGGCATTTGTGTTTTATTTAAAATATCTCAGGCTGGAGATGTAGTTCAGTGGCGCAGCACCTGCCTGACAAGCAAGAGACCCTGAGTTTAATTCTCAGTACCAAAAAAATACAATAAAATAAGTAAAATATCTCTACGCCATGGTTATAAATTATTCTCTTGTTTTCTTCCAGATGCTTAATAAACATATTATTTCAAAAACTTCTTTAGTGTTACCTTCTTACGTATGCAACTGAGGCAATTGAGATAAATTGTTAGCTATAAACAGTCTTTTTAGAGAAAAGTGTATCTTGAAAAAAAGGGATAGTCTTATGTTAATCTTGTGGACCATACCCAAAAAGCACAGCATACTTAATCTTATAGTCTCATAGAACTCATAGGTGTGTCTTGCCCTTTTCAATTGGGTTCATTTCACTTGGAAGCACACATTTGATGGCATATTAATGGAAGCAAAATTTTAACTTCCATTAAAATGTAAAGATTCTGCATTTCCTTCAAATATTTGTTACGTTTGGATTTTGCCAGGCAACTGCTCATAACCGCTAAGCTATCTTCCTGGCATTACTTTTGGGTTTTAAACATGCATATGGTAGAAAAATTAATGTGCAATTATGTGTAGTTATTAACTTTATTCAGAATATATTATTTGGAATCATAGGCTTTTTAAAGAATTCTTAAAAGGAAACGTCTATTCTATTTATAGGGTAAACTATGCCTGTGTATATTCACACATATTCACAGGAATATATTTGTGAATCCTTCTACATAAATAATAACTTTAGGCCAGGGAGATGGCTCAGTAGAATAAGAGCTTGCCTGGCAAGCGCGAGGGCCTGAGTTCAATTCCCAGTTCCGCAAAAAAAAATAAATAAAAATAAATAAATAATAACTTTAGGCATCTAGGGGGATAGCTCAGTGGTCTAAGTGCCTGCCTGGCAAGCGCAAGGATCCAAGTTCAATCCACAGTACTGTATGCCATGCCAGCCCCAGAATCCCAGGCACGCTGTGCTGGCCCTGAAGCCAGGCATGGTGGCAAAGACCTGTAATCCTAGCACTGAGGAGGCTGAGACAGAAAAATCACTGTTAGTCTAAACTGCATAACAAGACCCTGAAACTAATTAATTAATTAACTTAGGTTAAAGAAACTAGCTATAGAAATTTTCAAGATAAATGATTTTCCAGCATGGTACTAGAAAAAAAGCAGACCAGAGGATCAGTGGAACAGATTAGAAGATGCAGACACAACTACAAACACACACAGCCACCTTATCTTTGACAAAGGGGTCAAACACAATCACTGGAAGAAACATAGCCTCTTTAACAAATGGTACTAGAAAAACTGGCTTTCAACATGCTGAAAACTAAAACTAGATTCAGGTTTATCACCATGCACTAAACTAAAACCAAAATGGATTAAAGATCTAAACATTAAAACAGAAATATTGAATCTACTAGAAGAGAAAGTAGGTACATTTCTTGATGACATAGGGGTGGACAGAGGGTTCATGAACAAAAACCAAATTGCACAGAAAATACTTCAAAGAATCAACAACTTGAATCTCATCTTATTGAAAAGTTTTTGCACATCAAAAGAATCACCAACAGAATGAAAAGACAACCCACAAACTGGAAAGAAATCTTAACATTCACTCAAAGTACTTCTAGCTATAATATATAAAGAACTAAACAAAATCAAGCCCCCAAAATTTAAAGACCCAATCCAAAAATGAGCATCTGAGATGAATACACTCTTCTCAGAGGAAGAAGTACAAGAGACAAACAGATACCTGAAAAAATGCTCCACATCACTGGCCATTTGAGAAACGCAAATTAAAAATTGAGATACCATCTCACTCCAGAAAGAATGGCTATCATAAGGAAGTCAGTCAGCTAACAACAAATGCTGCAGAGCCCAGGGGGAAAAAGAAACCCTTCTCCACTACTGATGGGAGTGTAGACTGGTACAATTTCTTTGGAAATAAATCAGTGTGGAGATTCCTCAAAAAGCTAGGATTAGGGGCTGGTGAGATGGCTCAGTGGTCTGAAGCACCTACTTAGAGCAAGCTTAGCAAAGCACAGGGACCGCGGTTCAATCCCCCAGCACCACATGCCAGCCAGCCCCACCCCCTGGTGGGCTGAGCTGCACACACACACACACACACACACACACATAAAAATAATAATAAAATAAAATAAGTTTTAAAAAAAGCTAGGATTAGAAGCCCCATTCAACCCAGCTATTTCTCTTCTGGGTATTTTTCCAAAAGAACTGAAAACATCGTAACACAGTGATATATATTCACCCATGTTTATATCAGCACAATGTGTCATAACTAAATTTTAGAAACAACCCAAATGCCCATCTACTGAGAAATGGATGAAAAAGATGTGGTACTTTAATACAATGGAGTATTACTCAGCTATAAAGAAAAATAAGCTTGAGGCTTTTATAGGTAAATGAATGAAACTAAAGGCTATACTTATAAGTGAAATAGTGTAAACATTGTATTGTTTCCCTATTGTAAGAATCTGAAAGACTACATAAAATCTAAAAGATACACTAGGAATTGTAAAAGGGAAAGAAAGTGAGCAAATGGAACAAATTGGATGAGGGAAAGGAGAAAAGAAAATGTAATATGTATATATGCACAGCGAGATAGCAAAGATGATTGTACTACTAATTTCTATCGGGTTTAGGGTGGGGTTTTTTTTGTTTGGTTTTTGTTGTTGTTGTGGTTTTGGTTTTAGGTGGGGTTTTTGGTACCAGGGGTCAAATTCAAGATCTTACACTTGCCAGGCAGGTGTGTAAGTCACTGAGCTGAGTCCCCAGCCCGCTACCGGTTTTTTGAAGGTAGCAGTAAATGCTTAAAATTTTTACTTTGACCAGTTTTCCATGCTTATATCTGGTAATCTGAGCAACTACACTGAAGACAACAGTATGCAATATGAGAACCACTGTTGAATACCTATCATCTTGGGGTTTTTTTATTTTGAAATTGTGTATTGTTTCTAATGTCTTGTCTGTTATTCTAGTCTCTTTAAAAAGATAAATGATTTTTTTATTTTATTATGACATGTAAGTTTCATTTCTTTCTCTTTAGGTAATCCACTTTGTTCTTTTTTTTTAAAATTTATTTATTTATTTGCGTGTGTGTGTGTGTGTGTGTGGCCAGCTCAGCCCACCAGGGGGCGGGGCTGGCTGGCATGTGGTGCTGGGGGATTGAACCGTGGTCCCTGTGCTTTGCTAAGCTTGTTCTAAGTAGGTGCTTTAGACCACTGAGCCATCTCACCAGCCCCCACTTTGTTCTTCAAAATTGCTAGGGAATAATAATCTAGCTATCCTCCTAGTTACATTTTCTGGTGCCTCCTGTATTATTTAAACCATTAGTAAAAAAATTAAAAAAAAACATTGTAGAATAAATTCTTGACACAAAAAGCTTCCATTTTTTCCCCTTGCTTTAGTTTCTTGCCTTGGACTCTTTGATGTCAAGACAGAATAAAAGGAAATACAAATTTCATCAGGCCTGCTGGAGAAGCTGATGCAAGTTTGGGAATCTTTTATCTCATTCTGTTACCTTGGCTCATACCTATGGTTGATATAATTTATAGTTGGAAATTACCTTGAGTTCGTATAACTCCATAGCCTCTTGGCTTTAGTTAATCTCTATTGTGAAAATAATAAATACAATACTCACTGACATTATCAAACACCTGTTTTTGCAGTGTTCACTGTACAAACACTTTATTTTCTGTATCATCAATAGTCGTAAGTGTGGTGTTATTTTATTGTAATTTGTTGTTGTCATCCCTCTTTTTTTGCCACACTAGGGGTTAAATCCAGGACCTTCATACTGACTTTCATCTACCCAGCACTTTTTTTTTATTCTGTGACAAGTTCTTGCTACATTGTTAAATTACTCAGACTAAGCTTAAACTTTCCATCCTCCTGCCTCAGTTTCCTTTAATGTTGGGATTACAAGCACATGCCACCACATCCAGCTATTTCCCTACCTTTTATCTTAAAAAACTAAACCTTAAACTGCCTAGGATCACCATACAAGTGAGTGGCAAAAAAAAAACAGGTTAATGTGAGACTAAAGCCTGCATGCTGTACTAAGAAGGTGGTATTGTCTCCATGGCAGAAAATCATGAATTTTGCTAAAATAATATCTTTGGTATGGAATCTGGCTCTTATTACCCTCTCCTAGGTTTCCCCTTCTAAATATACTTGGTGACCTCTGAACCAAGAACACATGATACTGCGGCAACATTTTATTAGAATGAATAGTAGTCAGGTTCCAGGATCCACGAGGGTGAATGAAACATACTGTTTACCAGTCATTGAGCTCACAGCAGGTAGTAAAACTGAATTTGCCTATTTGCCTTCTAGAAGGGGGTCTGCCATACCTCTCAAAAGCAAGGCAAGACCTGTGCCTCCCTCTACTAGCTCTCCTGTATACTTGAGTGCTGTTGGATCTGTCCACCCAATGTTTGGACGGTGCCATTTGTTAATCTTTATCAGTGTTTTCTCTTGCCTTTCTAGGATTATAGCCGAAAAGGAAAAGGAAGTTCTGTTTGTCCGACCACGGAAATATATCCGTTGCTCCAGCCCAGAGAACACAGAGCCTGGCTATGTCAACATCCAAGAACTGGCAGCATCCACATGTCGCTATGACCTAGATGACATGGACATCTTCTGGCTTCAGGAATTTAACGAAGACCTCACAGAAATGGGTAAGTTGTTTTCTAACGAGAGAGTTGTGCTTTGAATCAACTTGCAAATTTTTTAAGTTGTTAGGACCTTTAAAACTTGTTTTCTTTCTTCTTGCTGCCTTCTTTTCTTTCCTGGCTTTTTTTTTTCTCTTAGATCTTCTTTTAATATGGCATTTCTTCAAATGTATAAATATTTTTAAATACAGCAATAACATTTAAATCTGATCTTTTATTTTCTCATTTAAGGTATAAACAGTACAGGTTCAGGGTGGCATGTAGGTTTTGTGAGTTCTAAATGTGATTGTGGCTGATTGGATTTCTAGATGCGAAGGATTTTGAAGCCAGTTGTTGGGCTTAGCCCTGAAAATCATTCTGATCAGTGAGCAAGGCCAAGGATACAGGTGCATCTGCCAGGACTTTGAAGGGAAATTCCATCTTCTGCTTTGGGAAGCACCACTGCAACTGACAGATTGCTATGACCGGTACCCCTGAATGCAAGACTTAAGATTTTGTTGCCTTGGAAAGACAATGGGGGACCGGGGAGATGGCTCAGTGGAATAAGTGCTTCCCTAGCAAGCACAAGAGTCTGAGTTCAATCCCTGGTTCCGGCAAAAAAAAAAAAAGAAAAAAAAAAGGAAAGACAATGGCAGACCCAGGGAGAATCATGCTCAAATTAGTGTTTAGCTATCATTGAGTTCTGGCTATCAGTGGGTTCTAAAATTGTCATATAATTTTCAAAAAAAAAAAGTGAAACCAAGCCAACAAAAAACTTGGAAGTAAGCATAATTTTAAAGTAAATGTTAAAGCAGTGCTGAGAAATGCTATATACTCAAAGGAAATTCACTTTATACTTATACTCTTACTTACTTGTTTTCAGTCTAAACAGCATTTTGATGAAGTTTTCCTGTGGAATTGTGGGTAATTTTTAAGTCTCCATGTGATATACATTTGACTTTTGTTTTAGTTTTTTGAGACAGGGTCTCACTATGTAATGAAGGCTGCCCTTGAACTTGCTTATGTAGTCCAGGCTGGCCTCAAACTCACAGTGATCCTCCTGCCTCAGCCTCCAGAGTGCCGGGATTACAGGTGTGTGCCACCACACCTGGCTGATTCCATTTCTGTTTGAATCATATTTGTTCGTTGTCAGTACAAGGATGGATGGTTTTCCTTTTCTTACCCCCTCCCCATCCTTTTTTTCGTTCTTTTGAGGCTGGTATCTGAATGGATATGAAAAAAAATAAAATTATATTAAATCCAGGTTGGCATGACAATAGTAGTTATCCTGTCAGTGACTAACCCTTATTCCTTGCTTTTTAAAACTTTTGATTTTATGTCTTCTTCAGTCCTCAAAGGAGAAAAAGATTATCAACTTACGGTAGGAACCACAAAGATAAGGGAATAAAAAGACAGACAGAAATAGAAAATCATAGTATGGGGGTATACACAGATGGATTGGTGGTCCAATGTGTAGTTGTACATATGAAACATACAGTATTTGTAGATATTATAATCATCACATTGCCTTTGGTGTGAAACCACATTACAGCTATAATAAGGTCCATGTGATACTTTGCAATGAATTCTCATTGGAATTAATTATTTCATTTTCAATTAGACTTTATTTTAGAAAAGTTTGATTTTCAAAAAAGTTGCACATTCAGTACAGAGCTCACATATAGCCCCCAAATGTTATGGGTCACTCAGAATAGGAACCAGATCAACCAGATTGGAATTTGGAAAGCTGTTTATTTTTTTTTATTGAAAAAAATAATAATTTTATTGAGAAACAAGTATCAATGAGACAGATTCACTGAGCTCAGGGCCCCCCAGTCTGCTCTCACGCACGCAGGAGGGGACCGAAAGGCGAAAGGCGGCAGCCCAGGAAGCAGGAAGGGGTTTTAAACCCTGGAACCACATTGAGTTTGATAAGCAAATTCATTAAATGACCACATTCAGTTTGGTAAACAAATTTATTGTCTGACACAAAATAATGCTTTCAGAATGATTGGGACCACAACTCAAACTACATTTCTGGGGCTTTTGTTCCAGTTTCTGGTTAATTTGCACCTGAGTATCTGCTGGCAGCCTTGCATAGCCTGAGGTTACAAGAAGTTAAAGCCTATTTAATTTCCTTTTGAAGTCATCTCTGTAAGCTAACTTTGGTAACAGGAATTGGTGAGGGTTACAGGAATTTTATCTTAGCAAAGAGCAAAAAAACAGCCACTAGTTACTAAACAACTTAGAACCGTGGTGAGTATACAATTACAACAGAAAGCACAAGATTTACATTTATAATCTAAAACGTGAGTTGACTCATTACATTGCACCTCACCCAGTATCAGTTACCCTAATAATAACATCTTACTTGACTGTAAGACATGTCAAAACTAAGAAACACAGGTATATAACTATTAAATAAACTCCAGACTTCATTGGAATTTTAGTTATTTCTACTAGTGACCATTTTTGTTCTGGTGGTATACCACATTGTGTTGGAAGAGTTTTAAAAGATATTTGTTTGCCTTATCTCAGGATTTTCTTCAAGGAAGATAATAATATAGTGATAAGCCTAAAAGCTTAAAAAATGGGGACATAGCTTAGTAGAATAAGTGCTTATCTGGCAAGTACAAGGTCCTGAGTTTGATCCCTGACCAAAACCAATGAAGCATTTTTTGGTTTGAACTGAGAAATTTTAAAATTGAGCACTTACTACATATTTGGCACCATACTAAGTAGTGTACAAACATTAGCTCATCCTTACAACAAATCAGTGGATTTAGCTGGGTGTGTTGGTGCACACCTGTAATCCCTTCACTCCCGGAGGCTGAGGCAGGAGCATCCAAAATTCAAGCCCAGCCTCAGCAATTTAGTAATTTAGCAAGATCCTGTCTCAGAAACATAAAATTTCAAAATTGCCTTATTAGACCTTTATGAATGCTAATAGGCTTATATTTGTTTGCCATTGAAAAAATAGCAGTGATTAGGGACCGGGGAGATGGCTCAATAAAATAAGCGCTTGCCTGACAAGCGCAAGGGCCTGAGTTCAATCTCCGGTTCTGGAAAAAAAAGAAAGAAAGAAAAAGAAAAAGGAAAATAGCAGTACAGCACCAACCTGGCAAATGCAAGCTCCTGAATTCAATTTCCAGTACCAAGAAAAGAAAAATGCAGTGAATTTTTTAAAGTAAGATTTGAAAAACAATATTTCTTTGGTGTAATCGTATGCAGATAATACCTAGAACTTTCTTTTATGGCTTAATATATTTTCATACGAAATTTTCCTTGTACAACCATTAGATATGCTTATTGAAACTAATTTTCTAAGACTGAAGTACTTGATTTAGTTATTTTATTACAATACAAACCAGTGTTCATAATTACAAAGTTTGGTGAAAGTCCTCCCACTTTGGGAATAAGAGAAAATCATGCAATCTAAAAGGAAATGGGCAAGGATTTTTTTTTTTTTTTTTTTTTAGGGAAGGGTCTTCAAGGGTGTTCAGGGTCTCACTGCTAGATCAGACTCGTAGTGATCTGCCTGTTTACAGACTCCCAAGAGCTGGGATTACAGGCACATGCCACCACACCCAGTCTCAATTGCCATCTCAGCGTGCCCCAGGGGTGGGGCTGGGGGTATGGAACCCCTGGCCCCTTTGCCTGCTTGCAGGCACTTTAATCCACTGAGCCATTTGGCCTGCCTTAGAGCTATTTGCCGGCCGTACAGCAAATGGAAAGTGGAAAGGATCACTAACGTCAGGAATATGGTGAAATACATTCTCTACTTTCATATGTCAAACATTAATATATTATTATGAGTAAATGTTAGAATATCTCTAGTATAAGATTGTTTGAAATCTGGTTGTTTTGGAGCAAAGAACATGAAATTTTATCCTTTACAATCCCACTCATGCTTGCACTGGATTCACAGTAGGTTATTTGGGACCAACAGCTTACCGGTGGGTTGATTTGTTTTTATTTCTGTGCAGGTTATGGGCCAGTTGATGAGACGCTTATGGAAAAAGCAATAGAAGTCCTGGAACGTCAATGCCATGAAAAAATGAACCATGCTATTGAGACAGAAGAAGGGCTAGGCATAGAGTACGATGAAGATGTCATCTGTGATGTGTGCCAATCTCCAGACAGTGAAGAAGGGAATGATATGGTATTCTGTGATAAGTGTAACGTCTGTGTTCATCAGGTTAGTGAGTAGTGGAGACTGCCACCTCCTTATGGTCAGCCTTTTTAAAGTTCAGTGATGCTCTCCATTATCCACAGCACTTCATGTTGAAGGGTAAAAATAAATATTTGGCTGGATATTCTTCTATGTGTCCTCTACAAACAGTACTTAAGGTTCTTGAGTTGTCTTACCTATTAACTTTACCCCAGGAGGCTAAACCAGGGTCTTTAACATATCACTTCATGCCTAAACCATGGGGAGTGCCTTGTTCAATTCCTCTTTGGAGGTTTCCATGCTGCCTGCCAGGGAGTCCCTCTTCTACCTTAGAATCCCTGTGACATCATCAGGTTACACTCATGAACAGATAGAAGACCAGACTTTATCTTGGTACTCAGAACTCTCCCTGTCTCCAAATGTGTCACTCCTAGGAAGCTAAGTCCACCCCACTTTCAGAGATCACAGAATTTTAAGACTTACAATGACTGTCTTAGTTTTACACACGATACCAGGAATAGTTAAATAATTTTATTCAAGCTAGACACTTGTCATTCCACATAGCATTCTAACCTTTAATTATGATGATGATTATACCAGGCATGGTGGCACACACATGTAATCCCAGCACTCAGGATACTGAGGTAGGAGGACCTATGAGTTTGAGCCCAACCTAAGCTATATGATGAACCCAAGGCCAGCCTAAACTACATAGTTACAGCCTGTCTCAAAACAATGATAATGCTGATTATGCCAACACTCCTTTCAACTCTTGTCTTTCCCCTTCCATAAGCCCTATGTTCCAGCAAAATCGTTAATTAAGTTGCAGTGTTGAATATTGCTGATACTATCCTATATCCATATTTTAGCCATCTCCCAATTATACTGCTCTGTGTATTTTAGCCATCTCTCAATTTCAGGATGTCTTCTCCTACCTCCAGCTATCAAAAATCTTCATACCTTCCAACTTCTAGTTCAAATCTTTTCTTGACCTCCCCTACCCTATAATAGATGATCAAAGTGTATGGTAAGTGTTTAAATTTTTTTTTAATGTAGTACAATGTATTGCTTTTTTTTTTCAGAATCAGGGATTGAACTCAGGCCCTTGCGCTTGCCAGGCAAGCGCTTATTCTACTGAGCCATCTCCCCGGCCCCCAATGTATTGCTATTGATCCCCCTCAAAATACTCCTACTCTCTTTAGACACACATGCATCATTCTTGACATCTTCTGAAACAGTTATGAAAGTCTTGTTTCATTAGTGTCTTCAGAAGAAGGCATGATCAAGAAAGTACTAAATTCTGCTCCCAAGTGCAATCCAATAAAAAGGCAGGGTTGTAAAAACATTACAGTGTGTCCTCATCCACCATATTTATCAGATCTGACACTGTTCAACTTCTGGCTTCTCCCCAAAGTCAAAACGACCATAAAAGTAAAGATTTTCAATCAGTTCAAGACATAACAGTAGCCACAATAGTATACCTAAGGACAATAAAGAAGACTTCCAAAACTGTTTCAGAAAATGACAAAAATAATGGGATGTTTTCAAAAGGGAAGTGTTTTGAGGTAGATTATAGTGGTGTGTCTTTTATTCTAATAAAATTTTTGATGTAACATTCCTCATATTTTTCACTCTTTGAACCTATTGTGTTTCATTCATATCAGTAATTTATTTAGCACTATCCATGTAGCTACTCGGCACCATTCATGAGCCAGAACTATGCTGAAAATAGTGCTGAAAAGACAGATATGTGTCTGTCCTTAGGACAAGCATAGTATGGGTTAAAGACTGTAAGAAAAGTACCAATTTAGCCAGGTGTTTTATAGATATAAATTCATGCTGCTGTAGAATTACTTAGGAGGAACAGGGTCAAAAATAACTCCAGGAAATGGCATCAAAGCTAAATCTTAGTGACCAAAAGGGGATGTCAAACAGCAAGGTATGTTCAGGAGAGGGGAGAGTATGTTCTTAGGGGTAATGAGAGTGGACAAAGTATGTTGGAGGCAGTTCTGAGTACTTCAGAACTATGGAATATGGAAAGTCTGAGGATTCAGGGTAGAAAAGGGCCCAAAAAACACACTACACTGCATGTGTGTGGAGGGGTAGAGTACTGGAGATCAAATTCAGGGACATCATACCATTGATCTACATCCGCAGCCCTTTTTTAATTTTTTGAGTCAGGGCCTCATTAAGTTGCCCAACATGACCTTGAATTCACAGCTACTGCCCCATTGCTGGGATTGGGACATGTACCTTCAGGCCTGGTAAAACTGCACTAGTTATTTCATGCAAGAACTAATTTGTGAATGATACTAAATTTTACCCAATATGAGGTAATTTATAATCTTTGTCAATTTTTTGTAAATATATATTTGTGAAATATTAATTTATTCAATTATGAAGTCCTACTGGGGCTTAGGTACTATACCATGTTGTATATGAAGTATTACATGGCAGAAATATTTCCTAAGGTCTGAACAATTGTGAACTTTCAGGGCTGGGGGGATACCTCAGTAGAATAAGCACAGAGTCTTGAGTTCAATCCCCAGTACTGAAAAAAAAGAAAAAATTGTGAACTTTGTTTCTCACTATAGGGATGTCAAATAAATAGTTGTGGATCTGCAGTAAGCTTAAATGGAATAGAACAAAAGGTCATTTGAATATATTTTCTGTATTTTTCCTTTATAGCTAGGACAAAATATTAAGGGATTCTTTTTAGATTCTTTGACTAATAAAATTAAATTTAGCATAGTAATTGTCCCTAGGAGTATATCATTTCTTTTAATAACATATCCCATAATGGCTAGAAATGATACCCTTTCCTCACATAGAAAGAAATGGCAATAACAACTGGTCAGACCTTGTAGAATGTAAACTGGTATGTATTATCTGGAAATTGGTGCCATATGAAGTTTCTTTCTTTTTTTTTTTTTTCAGGTGTCATTTAAATTTTTCAAAGTATGTTCACGTGCATCCTAAACAGCTACTTAAGTTAGAGCTCCCTCTGTTGGCTGAAAAATAATTCAAAATGATTCGGAAGATTTGGTTTACTCCCTAACAAAATGTGAACACACTGACAACCAATTTATTAAACGTAATTTTTTTCTCCATATGATGTTGTGTGTGTTCCTAAGTAACAAAAGTACACTCACGGTCAGTACTTTAGAAGACAGATGTTTACCAATAAACACATTTTAACATTTAACTTGAATTCTTTTCCAAGCAAGAAAGACCACCAGGTATGGTGATGCACATACATCTGTACTCCTAGCATGTAAGAGGATCACAGTTCAAGGCCACCAGGGCCACATTAGTGAGTTGAAGCCTAGCCTGTACTACATAGTGAGACTGTGTCCCCCACTCCCCCAAAAAAGACCATTCCAAGTCCCCTTATGTGTACCTTTTTTCTCCTTTTTAACACTAATAGTAAACAGATTAAGATTGAAGTTAATTTGTCTTAAAGATACATACTTCAGTTTTTCTATCTGTCATGAATATAGTACTTGATACTAAGTTGTTTAGCCCTCTAGTGCCTGTGTGCTTTTTCTCAAGAGAATCAACAATCTTCACCATTTTGTGGTCCATGAAAGTTAAGAACTGCTGCTATAAAATTCAAGCTTTTATGATTTTATGCCCCTAAGCAAATCCACAAATGGCTCAGTAAATTATTTTCTGCCCAATAGAATCACCAGGAGATAAAGGGCCTTCCTAGAAGAGGGCACTGGCCTCTCTTCTTCCAGTTAGAAAGTGGTTCTGTTTTCAGGAGAAAGTTTGTTGGCAAACATTCTTGGCCTTAAGAGAAAGAAATCCTTCAGAAATAAGGTCCCTTATAAAACAATGCCCTGCTGTTATGAAAACACCTAGTTGGAGTTCTGCTTGGGTTCCTGAACTAAATTAACCAGTTCACCGAACTACTTACTAGAGCTCAGCCTAAAAGGACATTCCAGGTAAATTGATAAAAGTGCTATCCTCAGTGACCTTACAGTCCCCCTGAGCCACAGCACAGCAGAAATGGAGAAAAAGGGTACATGATACTGACTGTAAATTTGGAATGTCAGTACCATGTTGAGTAATGGGGCAAAGGGGCTGATGTTCTTGGAGGGGCCCAGAGTCTGAGCCAAGTATGGAAGAAAGGTCTTGACTGTGCAAAGAGGAGTTGACCATGTAGAGCAAGGACTCTGCCTGGCTATTGATGACAAACATGTTAGAACTTTCAGTGATAATAAAACAGCTTACTATGACACATGTGCCATAGGTTCACCACCACTGGCCTAGACAGACACCTGAATATGAGACAGAATACTTGATTATGGAGAAAACCAAGAGGCTTACCTGTCCACATTGGGTGCCCTGTATTTGGGTATGGTATGGTTTAGGAAACAAATAGTGAGTTGTGAGGAGCCACAGACATAAGATCAGGGCCAGCAAACTTTTTAAAGGTCCAGACAGTAAATAGTTCAGACTTTTCCAACAACATGTTATGTTTATTACATGTGCTTCTTTTTCTTAGAATCCTTCAAAAATGTGAAATTTATTCTTAGTTTGTTATCCATATAAAACAGGTATCACATAGTAAGAAAAACCTGAGAGACAGGTGATAACAAAATCCCTGGAGGGTTTTGCTGCTATGCAGTGGTATGAAATCTTTGTTTTAGTGAGAAGGATCTAGTAGTCAAATAGAGGAAGAGTAAAAGGTGTGGAGGAGAAGGAAAGAGCATTTAGAAATAGCTCAATCCAGGCATGATGAGAACTCAAATGGGACTAGCAATGACAGGTGGGAATGGAGAAGAAGGTCATAGTCTCTGGGCCTTTCTGTAGGAAGGAATGGCCAACCCTAGGACCATTGGATATAGGCATGTGAATCTAGGAATTTGGTCTGGAAGATGGGAAGTGTGGCAGGATATGGAAAGGAGTTTGGAAAAAGAGTAGGTTCCAGTGAGGAAGGGTGACAAGGGGAAAAAGATGTGTAAAATTGGAGATAGGGAAAAAGGAGTCCAGAATGTTTGCCAAAAGAATATTTCACCTTTCCCAGTTATTCACTTACTCTTCAAATATTCCAAAAATTTTAAGCACCTTCCAGAATTCATTATGGATTATTGTGATTAATACTCAGTTTTCATTCACTAGTCCCTTTTCTTCAACCCAAGAAGATAATTGCTACAATTACTGAGTGATTTTTATGCACCAGGCATTCTTAGGCTCTATAAATATTAGTTTATTTGCTCCTCAAAGTTTCATTAGTTTTTTTAGGTTTTTCTTTTTGTTACAATAATACATACCATGTAGAAGCCATTTGATAAGTGTTTTGCTGACGAATTGTAATCCATAAACATTGTAGAAGCATTAGAAACAGGCAAAAAAGAAAAATATCTTTAATCCCAACTCGCAAACACAAGGCTGGCCTTTGAGAATATCTCTTTCCAGTCTTGTACTATAAAAAATCAGTTTTCATAGATACATGTGCAACATATATAGTTCACATGATAGAATTTGCTTTTCTGGGTGTTTTAAAACGGGATACTCTGAGTTGTTAATCAGAACAGGCATTGACTCTGGTGCAAAGATGCTGACCATTCTTCCTTTTTCTCCTCATGCTTCCAGGCCTGCTATGGCATTCTAAAGGTCCCAGAAGGCAGTTGGCTCTGTCGCTCCTGTGTTGTGGGCATTCAGCCACAGTGTCTGTTGTGTCCAAAGAAAGGTGGAGCCATGAAGACCAACAGAACCGGAACTAAGTGGGTTCACGTCAGCTGTGCACTGTGGATTCCAGAGGTAAGAAATCACGTAAGCCTAAAGCCATTTGCTCTAGAGTGCCCACCATTCCTACAACATTCAGAGTGACTTGGGCTTACCATGGAGATGCTTTATGGTCACTTGTGTTTCTGAGGTAATAATTCTAGAACTACCTTGTTTATTTTTTACTTTTTTGTATTTAGGACAAGGCGTACAGGGTCTCACTGCATAGATCGAACTCGTAGTGATCATCCTGTTTACAGCCTCCCAAGTGCTGGGATTATAGGTACACACCACCAATAGCCATCTCAGCACTCCCCAGGGGTGGGGCTGGCACAGCAGGCCCAGGAATTGAACTCCTGGCCTCTGCTTTTGCCTAAGTAGGCACTTTAATCCACTGAGCTGTTTGTCCAGCCCAAATTCCAAGGTTTTTTTTTTTGTACTTAATTGAATTACCGCAAATCCTTCTTGAATGCAAGTGCACATGTAAGCCCATGCTGGTTAATTTGTATGTGGTATCCCCAGTGGTATTCGATAAATTTGTATGAAAGGAGAGGCACAAAAGGCAGCAGATATGAATAGCAGATTTTAAGGGCTGTCCATCAACAGATGAATGGATAAAGAAAATATAGATTTGTATCTGTCTATCTATATAGATAGATAGATGCATACTGGAATGTTATTCAACCATAAAAAACAAAATCATGTTATTTGCAGGAAGGTAAATGGAACTGGAGACTATCATGCTAAGCAAATAAACCAGACTGAGAAAGTTAATAATCCTGTTTTCTTTTATATGAGCGATGAGAAACAGACAGGAAACTAGAACGTAGACTTTTAGAGATGAGGAAAGGGATCCAAGTGGGCAAGAAAGAAAGGGAGAGAGTAATGGGGGTGAAAATAGTTAAACCATGTTATATGTGTGTACTAATATGCCAAAATTAATCGTTTTATTCTTTATTACTAATATGCACTAATGAAAAATGCTTGCAGTCACAATACAGCACCCCAGAAGGATTCCTCGTACCCACTTCCTTGTCCCTATCCCTGAAATTAACCACCATTTTTATTTATATTACTATAAATATATTTTGCTAGCAGGCATGGTGGCCCATGCCTATAATCCCAGCACTCATGGGGGTGGGGAGGGAAACTGAGGCAGGAAAATCACCTTGAGTTCAAGACCAGCCTAGGCTGCTTAGTAAATCCAAGGCTGGGCTGAATTACATAGTGAGACCCTGTCTCAAAAAAAAAAGTTGTGGCTGTTTTTAAACTTCATGTAAAAGTACTCTTTTTGTCTGACTAGCACTCCACATTAAGATTTGTATTGGTAGTTCATTCCAGTGGATGTATATATAACTCGGTGGTAGTGTGCTTGCTTAACATGCTTAAGGACCCTGGTTTGATCTCAAGCACCATAAAAATAGCCCATACTTTTCTGTTTAGTATTCCACTGTTTATATATGCTATGTTTTATTTATCGATTGTCCTTTGACATTTTCAATTCTAGGGTTATTACAAAAAAATTTTTTTTTCAGAACCAGGGACTGAACTTAGGCCCTTGCACTTGCCAGGGAAGCACTTATTCCACTTAGCCATCTCCCCGGCCCCACAGATAAAATTATTAATAGCTTTTCTTAACCTACTATGACTTTTTGCCCCTTATTCTTTGAAGATCTTTTCTATAGAGTTTAGATTCAACATTTGCCTAAGACCTTTATTCAAAACTTTTCCTCATTATCTAACCTGGTCCTTCAGTTGCTGTTATTTCTTGAGGGACTATGTAGGTGCTAACTTCATTTAAAAAGCACTTTCAGACATTTCTTCTCCTTACCTATTGTAGCTGTCTGCCTCTTTACATTTCTTTTCTTTTTTTCATTTATTTTCTAGCTGTTTTGGTAGCCCTCCTATGTAAGCTAGCAAATTAGGCAGAATAACTCAATGACAACAGAGGCTACAGAATCAGTTAATAGGGAGCTGATAACACTATACTGATAATGTATTGCCCTTTAAAATTTCCTTGTATTTAAGCCAAGGGTAGTGATGCATGCTTGTAATTCTAGTCCTCTAGGAGCCTGAGGCACAAGGATCACAAGTTTGAGCCCAGCCTGTGCAACTTGAGCTGTATCTCAAAATAAAAGAAGATGAAGGGACTAGGGAATGTAGCTTGGTGAGAAGTCCCTAAATTCAATGCACATTTGTTTTTATCCTTAGGTGATCAAACAAAATAGTAAATCAGGTGGCACAATTTCTTTTCTTTTTTTTGTCAATGTTTTTTTTTTTTAAGAAACAATTCTTTTTTATTTTTTTATTTTTTTTTATTTTTTTTCAAAGTTTTATTGATAAACAGCAATGAGACAGTTTCAAATCAAATCGGAAGTACAGTTTCAACAAATAATACACTGCATATATTCT